CTCCTGGGCTCAAGCGAGTCTCCTGCCTCAGCCTCCCAAGTAGCTGGGACTACAGGCGCCTGCCACAACGCCCTGCTATTTTTTTGTTGCAGTTTGGCCAGGGCCGTGTTCAAACCCGCCACCCTTGGTATATGGGGCTGGCGTCCTACTAACTGAGCCATGGGTGCTGTCCTTTAGTGTATCATTTTCTACTAGAGTTCTTAAAAAAAAATCACCAATAAACGTTGCCTTATAACAAAGGGAGCCAGTGTACCTCTTATGATCCTGAACCTGCTGCTATAGTTGCTGACGCCAGAATTGTGCTTCCTTTGCTCTGATTCATACCATCAAAAATGGATGCTTTTTACCCCGCTCCCCCCACACACACACTCTTCAGTCACTTCTCAACTCAAGTTACTTGTGATCCCTGTGGTTGGCAGAATCTAAATCATATGTAGAACCTTAAAAAAATAAATAAATAAATCATATGTAGAACCTTAGTTACAAGAAAGTCTGGAAATGTCATTTTTAGCTCTGCAGTAAAGGAAAGGACACTTAGTGTGGCCTGGCTCACTTAATCTGCTGTCTTTTTTTGGAGACACAGTCTCATTCTGTGGCCTTTAAGAGAGTGCTTTGGCATCACAGCTCACAGCAACCTCAAACTCTTGGGTTTAAGTGATTCTCTTGCCTCAGCCTCCCAAGTAGCTGTGACTGCAGGCACTGGCCCCAACACCCAGCAACTTTTTGTCGCAGTTGTCATTGTTGTTTAACTGGCCGGGGCCAGGTTTGAACCCACCTGCCTTGGGTTCTGGGCGCCAAGCCAACATGATCCTTGCTAACACAAGGCAAAGAATAAGATATGTGAAGTAGTAAATAAGATTTTAGCCCATGAATTTGAAAGGATCCTGAATTAACGAGCTGTCCAAACATGGGATGGGCTGCCAGATATCTGGTTATTTGCCATCACTAAAGATGTTTGAGCATGGAAGGTGGTTTGTTTCTTGACTAGGAAGCTGTAGAAGGGACTTATGTCCCAAAGGTATGATCTGTCTTAAGTTTTTATCTATTATGAGTGTCTAGAAATTTGTAAGATTTATATATTAGGGTTTTCCTTTTTCCATTTTAAGATCTTAGTAATT